ATATATATTTATAAAAATATATTTTAAAAGGCTCTAATTACTCAATGCTCATAAGTTCCTAGGTGCTAATAAGTTACCTAATATAGAAATGAAATTTGTGGAAAGTTTGAAAGATTTTATTTCAAATGCGTTGAGGTAGTGTACGAAGCACGTAATAAAAGGATAAAAAGTCTGCCATTGTTATGGCAATACCTGCAGAGTGCAATCAGGAAACGACAGCTAAATGGCAGAGATGGACGGCAAACATATGCTCTTTTCATAATTATTCAGTTTGCATTAAATCTTCCAATGTGTCGGGGAACTCAGATTTTTTGTACGCACAAACATTTTGTATTGTTTTTATGTTTTTTATTTTTATTTAGCTTTATAATGCGGTGTTTTTTCCAGTGGTTTACGATGGCAAGAGATACAAGTAATTTGTGCTGCGCTGATAACTTGTTGATGTTATGCATTTGGTTCCAGTGAAGTAGTGAGGGACCGTTTAAAAACATTGGCTATAAACAAAGGCGCAGGGGCATCTTGCGCTTTCAAGGCCTTATGGGCGAGATACAGATAACTGAACTGAGCGAGGAGCCAAAAAGCATTGTGAAGTGTATTGCAGCATCATGGGAACGGTGATAAGATGGGCTGGAAGGTCGAGCTGATGATACAATATCAAAAATAAAAAGTCTACAAGCTGTGCGAGTGTAAGACAGACAAAACCAAGAACCAGTGAGGGCAGGCTCAAACGTGAAGAACAAAACACCTGTGAAAGTATGAGAATCGCTTTGTCTCTCCATGCAAACATTTTTGACAAGTTTCTTCAGACTGAGGTTTTAGAAGTCAGCAATTCTTTACAGTGGTTCTAAAAAGTCTACAGACCCTTGTTCAATTTCCAGGTTTTAAAATAACTAAAGCAAGATACATCAAAATTTTTTCCACCATTATATGTGACCTCTATACTTGTACAACTCAAAAAAAAAAAAAAATTAATGCAGTTGCACAAGGGTGCGCACCGGCTTATAACTAGTGACGTGGCTTTGCTTAGAATTAACCAATCATATTCCTACTCATGTTAATGGGAGTCATCACACCCCTGCCCCCACTTCATGTGACTCTGATTTTCCCCAAATAAAAGTTCAGCTTTTCCAGTAAATGGTAGACAGGTTTTCACTTGTATAACACTTTTCCACCGACAAGGCACTCAAAGCGCCTGACCACTGTTTCCTCATTTGTATCTTGCTCAAGCACACGTCAACATGGTCACAATGGCTGGAGATTGAACCCCCGACCTCTGGGTTGGAAGACGACCGCTGAGCCATACCGTCCCCTCAGCCCCCTAGGCTTTTCCTGATATTTTTGTTGTCAGATCTTACAGCACAAGCCATGGCCCGCATTAATATTCCACAGAATAAAGAGAGCAAGCATAAGCATAGGGCCAGCATAATTACCAAGGCATGAAATGCAATCATGGAACACAACGAAGAGAGCCATTTTCAAGAAAATACAGTGCTATTAACTACGAATTGGACATCCCTACATATTTATTTCCATATTCAGAAATTCTGTGCTTTTAAGGTTTTTTTAAGACCTCTGGCATTGAGGAATACTGTCAACAACACCCTCACGTGTAGACTTTTTATTTCCACTGAATATAATGACGAGAGAGGGAGAATGTTGACTGGGACAGTGAGACGAGTAGGCGGAAATACCTGATGAAGGCTTGGAGCAGCTGTGAGACCATGGAGGACACTTGGCCCAAACAGACAACTGCGTCCTGCAGTGGAGCAGGACCTCCTTCTGGCAAGGCACTTTGTCTGGCGTGAGGATCAAAGGCCAGAGCTTTGAACACTTCCAAGCTGGAAGAACGACAAAATAAGAAACAGGCAGTAAATGCATTTGAGAGGCTTTTATTTTCTTATCAATGCACTCTATATGTTTTACAGCAGTCCGGGCATTCCCCAAATTGTAGTGCACTGTTGGCAATATTTTACTTGTATTCAAGTCTTTTTAATTTTCACAGAGTATCGGTGATGGGCCGTGGGGTGCGGAGGCTGGTGAGCCCCAAAGGCTCAAAGGCACATTACAATTTGGCCTGCAGTCTTCCACTGATGTCAGAATGACACAAGGAAATGGCTACCATACACCCTGGCTTACTGTGAAAACCGGGACAAAACAGGACAAAATGCACACCAAATGCGGCTGAATTTAACAAAACCCAAAAGGACCGAGACGTGCTAGAGAAACGTGTCCCATCTTGCTCCAGACACCCACATTTTGCTCTGTACTATTAGGGACTGTCAGGTTTTGCGGCATTCACCAAGTTCCAGTACAGTTGACTAAGTTTCTTATCCACTTCATGACTGACATTGAAAATTGCTTGACAGTTTAAAAAATCTGTGTGGTCATCTGTGGCAATCACTTTCTGTCATGTTTTCCTTGCTTTGTCTCACGTTTGTCCTATTTTGTCCAGTGTGGTCAGAAACGGGGTTGCCTGCTGGATACAGTGTGCAAACGCTGAATAAACTACACACATTAAAAACTAAAATAATCCTTTGGATGGCGGCCCGGTAGTCCAGTGGTTAGCACGTCGACTTCACAGTGCAGAGGTACCGGGTTCAATTCCAGCTCCGGCCTCCCTGTGTGGAGTTTGCATGTTCTCCCGGGGCCTGCGTGGGTTTTCTCCGGGTACTCCGGTTTCCTCCCACATTCCAAAAACATGCATGGTAGGCTGAACACTCTAAGTTGCCCCTAGGTGTGAATGTGAGCGTGGATGGTTGTTCGTCTCTGTGTGCCCTGCGATTGGCTGGTAACCGATTCAGGGTGTCCCCCGCCTACTGCCCGAAGACAGCTGGGATAGGCTCCAGCACCCCCCGCGACCCTAGTGAGGATCAAGCGGTTCGGAAGATGAATGAATGAATGAATCCTTTGGATTTACTTAATTTGAACATGTACATTGGTTGCATGTGATTAAAATTTGGTAAACCTGATGACATTTTCCCCATGTTTTCCTCAAAAATAAACAAAAGATATGCTTTCTTTAAACATATTTTAATCATATGCAATCTTTTTTTTTCAGTCCAGCAGGATAACTCCTTTGTTCAAGTAGGTATGTGGTTTTTCAAGGTGACCAAGCAGAACAGATAATTTTAACAAGAAAGTACACATTTTTGACAAGCTTTAAACCTCAAGCGCAGTGGTTCTTAACCTTGTTAGATGTACTGAACCCAACCAGTTCAAATGCACATTCAACGAACCCTTCATTGGTGAAAAATAAAAAATTACAAATTCAAGACCAAAAAAAAAAAACATTTATTAAAAACAGAAAAAAAGTAAACACAATTAGTATAAGTATAAAGTATACGTTTTTTAACTGTGCTCAAAATGAACCAGTCAGTGATGGCCAAGTGGGCATGTCATAATTAATTGACATGTTGAGTCGGGTGTGACTGAACCTCCATGGCAGAGGCTCTGTCGAACCCCTGAGACCGATTCACCGAACCCCTAGGGTTCGATCGAACCCGGGTTAAGAACCACTGCTCTAGTGGTAGGCAAAAGTATGTGCTCGCGGGCCGAATTTTATGACTAACACTGACAGATGGAGCAGATAATCCATACATGTTAAATCCATCCATTCATCCATTTTCTGTCCGCTTTATCCTCACAGTGGCCGCGGGGGGTGCTGGAGCCTATCCCAGCTGTATTCGGGCAGTAGGTGGGGGACACCCTAAACCGTTTGCTAGCCAATCGCAGGGCACACACAGACGAACAACTATCCACGCTCACATTCCCACCTAGGGACAATTCAGAGTGTTCAATCAGCCTTCCATGCATGTTTATGGAATGTGGGAAGAAACTGGAGTACGCGGAAAAAACCCACACAGGCACAGGGAGAACATGCAAACTCCAAACAGGGAGGCCGGAGCCGGAATCGAACACCGCACCTCTGCACTCTGAGGTCGACGTGTTAACCACTCGACCACCGGCTCGCCCTACATGTTAAATGTATAATTACAAAATAATATATTTTCCGAATACTTTTATTGTATTGTTTACAATAATAAACCAGCTACTGTTTTCAAATAATAATTCAAAATAAATGAACGCAACAATATTGAAAGCATTCATAATGTATCTAATTGATGAAGGAATGGAGCGAGCCCGACGCGGCCCATAAGTCAAACTTTGCCGAGCCACCCCCAGACTCCAACATTCAGTTTATTTTTGCCCCTCCACCTGAAGTGCACTGCATAAACAACACTGTAAATTACAAATTAACAACATTTTATAATTACTTTTGTATTTTGCAAAACCATTCATCCAAATTGAGAATGCCTGCGCGTTAAAAGCCAAACATGGGAGCTGCCACTACGCTCACCTTATTTCACAGACTTTACACCAAATGTTCTCAAACATGGCCCAGACTTCATGGTGAGGGACATGAGAGGAAGGGGGTCGTTTGGCTTCGTCATCCTCATTCATGACAACATCACAGACAGCTGATTCAGGCTTGATGAGAACATTTGAACGGGAGAGCTTGTTTACTGGTTATCAAGAGGATAAAACAACACAACAAATTCATGGGTCAAGCAGACCTGAGGTGTTAGCTTGTGGGCGATGTCGTCCATTTCATTTAGTGCTCTGGGAACATGGCTGGACCTTTTCCCAAATTCCTTGACAAACTCCTTCGCTTGTTGGAGAGTCACCAAAATAGAACTGCGCTCTCTTAATAGACCTGACAGAACAAAGAAACACATTCATGACTTGACGGTGTTGTCATCTACATTTAAGGCAACAATCAGGTCATCCTTTGTGCTGTATGGGTCACAAAAGAGACAATTTGGCCTGAATCTACGTCAAACAACAAATGATTGAACCAGGAAAAGCAAACAAGATTACTAAAATCAGTAAATCAATACCAAACCTAACCAAAATTATGCTTCAACAGGAAATTAATAGTCAGTTTGACACTTTTCGAAAGGTGCTTAACCCTCCTCTTAAATATTAGTATCGCATTTTACCTTTGGGGTCAATTTGACCTCAGGGATATTTGGCTCCAGAAAATGATGTGATGAATTTGTTGACACAGGTTTTGTGTCAAGCACTTTGTCATTGTTGAATACATAAATATTCCCTTGATCATAAACCGTATCAGTAAGTTTAGCTGTACTCCAGTGCCACCATCGGATCAAACTTTTAAATTAAAAAGTTTTCATTCAAATCTTCTTAAATTTTCTGACAGTATTAATAGCCACATGAGGATGAAACCTATTGGTTTTGCTGATGAAATGACCTTTCCTGTAGCGCCACCAACAGGTCAAAAATGGTGGGGGGGATTGTGTGTGCGTGCGTGTGTGTGTGTGTGTGTGTGTGTGTGTGTGTGTGTGTGTGTGTGTGTGGGTGTGTGTGTGATTTGGGTTGAGGGCTGTTGTGCAAACTTCTATGTTTGCCCCTCCCTTATTTTGCTTGAACTGCCAATGTCTTTGTGGGAAACTATCAAAGTTCTTGCAGAAATTGTTATCTTCCCCATCCCCTGTAATGTATGAACTCAAGAGTATGAACTCTGCAACTGCAAGTGAGGGGATGGTCTCTCACACACACACACACACACACGCACGCGCGCGCGCGCACACACACACACACGCACACACACACACACACACACACACACACACGATATTGAAAAAAAATAGCATCATGACAATTTTATGCTTAATTAGTTACCCTGTCAAACGAGGAAAAGTCATTAATAGCAAAAACAAAGTGCAACTTTAATTTTTTGAATGATAAACATTGAATGGGGTCGAATTGACCCCAAGAATAACAGGAGGGCTAATAATTGGACTTTTTGCGCTTCAATTTGAGCGTTTGAGAACTGCACTGCATCATACTGACATGTTCCCAGCATTACATTATGTAGTTACAAGAGACATTCCACAGCAATTAAAAAAAAGAGAATTTGTCAAATTAAAACCCCTTGAAAATATCTATCATAAGACTGCACTCCAAATGCTATGCTTAATATGAGCACAACTTCACCCGATTTAAATCAAACAAGTCCCAGAATATTCTGCTTTGTCATCATACACTACTCAGCCTCCACCAGCAAGACTAGAGAATCATATGCTGCATTTTTCCACTGAAGTAGTTCCTGTTCTCTCCCTTCTCCATATTTCCCATCTTTTTAGACTGTAATGGCACACAGCCAAGCTGCATTCAACTCAAAAATAGCGCTGAACTGTATTTACTGGCATTGGTTGTCTGAAGTGTTCCTGAGGCCATGTGGTATTACACTATATCCTCTATACATTGATGTCGGTTTTTGATGCAGTGCCGCCTGCGGGATCGAAGGTCATGGGCATTCAATGTGCCGCTTACATGCTGTGGTTTCTCCAGAGTCTCTGTACCTTTTGAAAATATTATGGACCGTAGATGATGAAATCCATAAATTCCGTGCAATTGTACGTTGAGGAAGATTGTCCTTAAACTGTTCGACTATGTTTTTACGCAATCGTTCACAACCTGGTGAAACTCGCCCTCATCTTTGCTTGTGAATGACTAAGCAATTCAGAGAAGCTCTTTTTATACCCAATCATGGTTCACCTATTCCCATTTAGCCTGGGGATGAAGAAGCTTGTGCTTGTGGTGAGCTATAAATCCTCACCTAGATGCACAATGGGAAAGAACGAGAGGCTGGTTATCCGCACAAGGCTTGTGACGTAGGGTAATTCAATTAGATACAGTAAAGGGACTGAGAGCCAGATGAAGAGGCAGTGCAAAGGGTGACTCAGCACTATACTGACACATATTAGAGTGCCGTTTTAGAAGGTGACCTAATTCTATCTGCTGTTCTGGGGAATTCTGGTGCAGTTCAAGGCAGCGGACGTCATTCCCCAGTGGACTGAGGCTTTTCAGTAGGGGATGACTCAGTTTGCCTTCTGTTCAGTCAGAACCCAGTTAGCTGTTTGGAAATTGCCTGCTATTGCATTCAAACACGGAAGGTAGTCGCCACAATTTTAGAAACATTGCAAGCTCAATAATAAACACAGGTTAGTAAGGATGTGGAAAATTCGCTGCTCAAAAACTAAATGTAAAATTTGCCAACCATGGCATTTGATCAAGAGGCATCTGAGAGCCAAGATGTGCTGATAAAAATAAATAAATAAATAAATATATGACAGTGTTGCTCTCTATTACTTTTGAGGCACAAATGGTTTTTTCTCCTTCACAAATTATAGTAGAGTAGTCACAATTAAAATAAATAACTAAAAAAATGATGACAGTAACATCACCCATACACTCACAATTCGGAGTGAAATAAGACTTGACATGACAATGACCAAGTTGTCAAACCAGATTTAACGATTCACTGTTTCTCGTATTACAGTGATCCCTCGCTACTTCGTGGTTCGTTTATCACGGGTTCAGTGCATCGCAGATTTTTTCAAACGTATAAAAAAAAAAAATATATATATATATATATATACTCGCAGACCGTTTGCAGACAAAAAACAAAAAATGTTTTTTTTTTACCTGTTTATGTTAATTGGACGCTATTTCGCGGATTTTAGTTTATTGAGGGTGGTTTTGGTCCCCATTAACTGCGATAAACGAGGGATTACTGTATTGTTTTTTTTTTCTGACTTGGTTTAGATATTTAGATACGAGATACTCAGATATCTATCCATCCATTTTATCTACTGCTTGTCTTCATTAGGGCTATGGGTGAGCTGGAGCCGATCAGAGCTTACTTTGGGTGAGAGGTGGGGTACCACTGGACTGATTACCAGCCAATTGTACATGGAGACAAACCAAGAGCCACACTGACATTTACATGTCGCAAAATCTTCCGTGAACCTATAAAATGCATGTTTTTGGAATAAGTGAAGGAAGCCAGAGTATCTGGAGAAATTACAGAGAGAACATGCAAAAAGGCCAGAGCCATTATTCTAAGACACACACACACACACACACACACAGACCATTTGCCTTTTACAAACGCATAAAAAATACTGTACAATAGTATATTATAAAAATATATTCGTACAAATAAACGCTTTACTCTTAATATCACTGAAGGACTACAACATGAAAACAACCACAGTATATGAACGTGTACAGTAATTTTTAAACCATAAACAATTAGGAGCATGAACAAAATAGCTCTTTGACCTCATCTTCCTACTGTACAGATTTCTTACCTTGTTTAAAGAAGTCAATGAGATTTAAAACTGTTTGGAGCAAAGATCGTGGGACGATGAAGCCAAATACTGCTCTCCAGTGCCTTTTCAAACAATGCAAAATGTCAAGAAGATTCCAGGGCGGCTTTATGTAGATGATCTATAGAATGGGGATAAGTCCACAAATTCCCATGTTTTTGATGCACATTTGTGTGAACTAGTCTCATGCCAAGCAAACATGTTGGGTTGAGAGGACACCAAATCACTCATTCAAATGTCTCATGTCACCCACTGAGTTCCATTGGAAATTAAAATTCGACATACTTTACAATCCTACCTCTTGCCACAACTCATCGTAAGTAGCTTTCATCTCCATCTCAAGCACATTGGACAGAACCTCCTGAAGGCAGTTTTCAAACTCAGAGACACATCTTTTTATGTTCTCCTTCTCCTCCACTGTGGGATTTTTTCTCTCTGGAATTGGATACATGTGTCTACATGAGTGGAGGTGACTTGCAAACAGTCACGAGGACAAAAGCTAATCTTCACATGCACATATACTGCCAACAATAGTGTGTTGAATTTTCTCTATTTTATTTGGACTATACATAGATGTATAGTCGATCTAAAAATAATGTGGATGCAGATTATTTCATTTTGTGCACTGACTTGACAAAATGAAATTAAATTCAACACATCATTTTTTTCCAGTATGTGTGCATGTGCAACTACTTGGCGAAATAAAACAAAGTACAGATAATGAAGTGTGTCTGAGGGAATTATTTTCCTTTTATCAAGAATAACATTTATGAGGTCACAGATTTTGCGCAAGACAGCTTGGCTCACATATTCTGTTTGAGTTCTATCCTAATTGTGTTTAATGGGAGTTGTGATCTGGGCTCTTTAGCTTTTACAGACCAAATTCATTCAAATTCGCGCGACGGATCTTGCTTTATTTAGGCTGGAACAGGAAAAGGGCTTCCTCGAAACTCATCCCACAAAGTTGGAAGAATTGTACCAGTATATATTTTTTTAGCATGAATGATGAATCAATTGTATAAATACATGGGGCATGGAATTAGGGCACGAGTAGAAAATGCGGCCATTATTTGTGTTAGGTTTTCCACCGGTGCACGTCTTTGACATAGAGAGATAACTGGTTAAGCAATCCAACCAGCACAGTTCAAGAGTGGGCAGGTGGAAATAGAATGAACATCGATGGTGCATGCTGTTGCAACTGTACCATGACAGAGAATGCCAAGTAATTTGGATTTCGTGAGGGATACTGTTCTCACCTTCCTCTGGGAGACATAAAGACAGACGTCCTTGTGTATGAGATAGCACTGGTGTAGAACTCCTTCTTGGCATTGGTAAGGGCATTGGCGTGTCGATTTGAGGAAGCCTCTGAAGGACGGTGCTTCGTAGGTGGTTAACGGTGCATCCTGATCCCTCAACCTCTTCCTCCAAATCAAGCTTGCTCAAGGCCTTAACCCCACTAAGGACAGCCTTACTGCATAGATTTTTGTCATTTCTACAGTGGAAAAATAAAGTGGTAAGAAAATGTTACATGATAACAGAGCTGTGGATGCGCTACTTATAAATAATGCGTGGCCAATGTGCTGTTGTTTTCAGTACACTAGAACCTCCAAAGTTGAATGCTTAAAAAAAATTTTGTGCATCCAAAATGGAGGTGTAAAATGCACGTATCAAGTTTGAATTATTTCTAATTAGCATCATCATGACAAAACTGTCTTGCAAAACTCAAACTAATCTCACAACACTAACCCATCCAAAGAGACTGTAGCTTTAGGAAGCATTGAAAGGATTACATCTAGAACTGTGTTGATGTTTTTAGTGATTCCACCACAAAGAGCTAACAGTGATGCAAATAGGACGAGTGTGATGAGGATAGGACCAGAAATGAAACTTTGAAGTGACTGCTTTTCATTTTTAGGGCAACCCCTGCTTTTGACATAAGTGGGCGCCAGCAGACCTGACCCTCAGCAAAAAAGGTTATGTGCAACCAACTTCCGCATTTGGCAAAACAACCCAAAGCACTTCGCTCACGTTCAGGTCACTGTTGGAGCCCTACGGCGGGAGACCGGGAGAAAGCACCTGTAGACATAAACATCTACAACGTCTTTTGTCTTACACAAGATGACTTCAAGTCTTCGAGGTTCCACAGTCAATTTTATGTACTAGATCAAGCTATCTTAATATTTTTTGTAAAAAAAAAATGAACCAATTTGTCCACCAACACTTTACGCCTCAGCAAAATGTAGTTCTCAAATGTGGAACTATAGTTCATCTTACTTCAGGTATTGGCACTCAGTCCAGTTTAATATTTCCTTGATTAGAGCTCCAATGTCAGTATCAGAAAGAGATAATAGTAGCAGTGATGGCCAAATAAGTCAAAAGCTGAGCCTACCCTGACCACAAACATGCTTAAATTATTTCCCAGTGATTCTGTCTGGCCTTGCTCCTATCCTAACCGGCATGATCTGCCCGAGGCGACTCCTAGTCACATGCATGTGTACTGTTTGCAGTCAACACAGGCTGCTGTGGAAACGGTGGTGGGGGCAGGGGGGGGACTCACGTGCATAGGATGAGAGCACAGCCTGGGTACAAACTCTGATATTGTAGGCAGCACTGCAGCACTTTGTCATCATTATTCTCAGCCATCAGACTATCTGAGAATGGTAAGAGAGAGAGAGAGAGAGAGAGAGAGAGAGAGAGAGAGAGAGAGAGAGAGAGAGAGAGATTTTTCACCTTGTGAAAACAAAAATCTAGCACACAGAAGGCAACACATGAAAAGTTTAGACTTTGAGTTATTTATTATTGCCCACCCACTTTCCAAGAGCTCCATAATGAATGAATAATTTTCCACTAAGAATGAGCAGAGTACTACTACCACTCACTGGACATTAGGGGGAGTACAGAAATGCACTACTTGTTATTTATTCACTTTTTTTTTAAATGTTTCATTCTTTTGTCTGGAAATGCTTTTAAACACATTTAAAACTGCCTTGCCGAGAGGCAAGCCAAGCACTACTGCACACTGCATGGTACTTTAATAAATAACACTGTAGCATGTTCTCATTCTACAACTACTGTAGTTGAATGGGTACGGTTGTGGGCTCTGGTCTTCCTGTGTGGAGTTTGCATGTTCTCCCCGTGCCTGTGTGGGTTTTCTCCAGGTATGCCGGTTTCCTCCCACATTCGAAAAACATTTATGGCAGGTTAATGGAACACTCTGAATTGTCCCTTGGTGTGATTGTAAGCACGAATGGCTTTTCATTTATGTGTACCCTGCAACTAGCTGGCAACAAGGTCAGGGTGTCCCCCTGCCTACTGCCCAAAGGCAGCTGGGATAGGCTCCAGCACACCGGCGACCTTCGCGAGGAAAAACGGACCAGAAAATGGATGAATGAATGGATGGAGTATTCTGGATTACGAGACCATTATTTCCACATTCCATCTATCCATTTTAAACACGTATTCTCATGGGGGTGAGCTGAAGCCTATCCCAGGTGATTTTTTTTTGGGGGGGGTGGGGGGGGGGAGCCGGATACATCCTGATCTGGGCGCCAGCCAATCACAGGGTACAAACTGTAAAGACAAACAACCATTCAGACTCACAACCATGGCGAGGAACATGCAAACTCCACATGGAAGGCCGGAGCTCAGATTCAAACCTCGAACATCATAACTGTGAAGCAGATGTGCTAACCATTCATCACCGTGTTGCCCTCAACTTTATAATGCAAACCAACACATGCTTAATATGTAATTGAGACACAAAAATTACAATTGAATATGAAATGACAAATGCAAGTGATTTTATTCAACTCACTGTTACTTGCAGCTGCCTGCTGCATTGACTGCCCCCAAAGGTGACTTTCTCGCCTTTTGAGAGAGTTGTAAATGTAGGAAATGGCAGGACAGGCCAGATGAGCCACAGAATCTGTGAGGCCTTTCCTCTTTTTGAGAGAATCGAGCTCCTGCAGCACCACCCAGGGGATCAGGACAATTGGCAAACCTAAAGCTACAAATACATAAAACATGGACAAAGTATGTGAGACAACAAAATATTATGCTAGTTCACTCAGAGGTTAACGTAACATAACATCAAAAGACACATTTAGGGTGAAACAGTGCATTAGGTATGAAAATCACCTCCAAGGCCACAATGTTGAATCTTTTTCACATAATCCAAATTACTGAGGAGAATATTGGTGTCCAGAACAAGGATTACATCTTGCTGAGCAGATTGTTTGCCTGGAAAAAAATGCAAAAGTTCCTGAGGTGAAATGAAAACACTTTCATTGCTTAGAGCGAAATTAAATTGTTCAATCTTTAAATTGTTCCCATCTGTATTGTGTTGAGGAATTTGCCTTACCATGAGAACTATTGATACTAGTCTCGGTCTGAACATCTGCTGAAGCACTTAAAACAAAGAGGGTAGTGTTATGCTTACATCCTCTTTTTCTCTTGAGCAATTTAACAGCCCCCCACATGTCTTCTTTCCTGTCCCCCATCTCTGCTGAGTCCCTCAAGGCTGTCAAGTTTCTTGGGATTTATGCACAGCAGGAGGAAGTCTGGATTTTGTCAACATGCCAAGATCGAACTGCATTGACCTTTCTTTGTTTCAGATTTTTACATAAGGGGAAGGATTGCCCGCCCCTCATTAACATACTACGCCTATATGAACGTGAGACTGTATTTTTTTCGGGGCTTCCTGATGAGATCTGAAACTCTCAGAAGCCCGAATCGATTCGTATGGTGTTGTGATAAACTGCAGAAAAGACGACGTGGTGTTGGGTATTCTTCCACCTTATAGAAAAATAAAAGAACCTGTGTCCAAGGAGGGCCATAAGGAAATGGACAGATCCCCTCCACTACAATTGGATAATATACGTCGAGTAAAATGAATTACAACTAAATTCACAAGACATTTCACAATGTGATGGACTAAGTACTAAACCACTGCGAAACGCAACAATAATAACAAAACACTGTTAAAATGTAAATGGTGTTATGTAAATCCGTTTTTTTTCTAAAAACATTTCCATATTGTCCCGAGGTGTGATTGTGAGAGCAAATGGTAGTTTGTCTATATGTGCCCTGCTACTGGCTGGCAACCAGTTCAGGGTTTACCCCCACGGAACACAGCTGGGATAGGCTCTAAGACACTTCACAATGTGATGGACTAATAAGTGCCGAGATCAGGGGTGCCCATTACGTCGATCCTGATCTACCGGTAGATCTAAGACAGGTCCCAAGTAGATCCGAGGAGAGTCGAGGAGAAAAAAACCAAACAACCATTTGTGTGTCTTTGTTCATGTTAGGAATATATTTTTGTACATGTTAGTAATATATATTTTTGTGTTAATGTACGGTGCACCCTAGTCATCCTATCAGTCACATTTTCACAAAAAAATATTTAAAAAATAAAATAAAGCAGGTAAATCTTGAATTTACGGTGGCGCGTGATTACGTCACCGGAAGTTGTTAGCGCTCAGCAGTCTGCAATTGCAGCTTGTGATCAGAGCTGTTGCGCTCTCTCCTTTGTCGTGATTATTCTCATTCAGAGTTTGCTTCGTGTACAATTCACCGAGGGCACGGGCAAAGAATAGGAATCTAGGAGGGCCCAGGGAAGCACTTTAAAACAGTACGTGTGAGCTACGATAGTTAACAGGCTGAAAAAGTGCATCGCATGCCTCAGTTTCAGGCTGTTTCTCATCATGGCATGTGTGTGAGTGTGTGTGTGTGTGTGTGTGTGTGTGTGTGTGTGTGTGTGTGCGTGCGTGCGTGCGTGCGTGCGTGCGTGCGTGCGTGCGTGCATGCAAGTAAGGGTAGATCCCGGGAGGTTAGCTGATCGAAAAGTAGATCTTCGGTCCAAAAAGTTTGGGCACCCCTGGCCTAGATAATGAATGGACAGATCTTTACTGAATAGACCTGTGAGTGTCAATCTCACATTTTATTCAACAGTGGCCAGGCATGACTTTTAATGCGCGTTGGCACTCCGCACCAAGTGATATAACTTACAGAGACTATGTGTAGCTCTCTCCTCTGGGGGGTCTATGTCCATACAGGTGAGCTCTCCATAGCTCTGCATTACATCCACCTCTAATCTCCTTTCAAACCGGGCAAGTTGAAGCTCTTCTGCCACTTGCATCTAGAGTCAAGGATATTTTGATGGCAAAAAAATAAATAAATACATAAAATAAAATCACCTCTCATGGAAATTTTAACTCAATGTTCATGTTATAGCTCACCTGCTCACTTGTCTGCTCTGCGCTGACATCGCGTGTAGTGGGAGGGACATTTGAAAAAGATATACCGGTACTCTCAATTTTTCTTACAGTGCGCTCAGTTGTACATGTGGCAGTCCTGCTTGTAGAGGGAACGTCACACTTGTCACTTGTGTTCACCTCAACAAGCTCTGGTTTAACCTTCTTCGGAATCTTGAAACTGGAAAGTACAGGTGATGGTATTTTGGGCCGAGAAAATGATGACTTTGCAAATTCAAAGGACACTTTGGCCTTGGTTGAAAGAGAAAACTGTTCTGTGAAGTCTGTAGATGTTTTTGGATCTCGGCTTTCTTTTTCTTTTACCAACAATTCCTGACTTTCCTGACATGTCTCTTTGATTATCTCTCTTTGCTTGGCCCTTATAGAGTACTTGGAGTGAAGAGAGGTCTGGATTTGTTCTTTGGTCTTGATTGTCTTGCTCTCATTTCGATTCTTGTGCAATTCTTTATCTTTACTCTTCGGCAAATACTGGCGGTGTTTCCATCGCTCTTCTGAAACATCGCTGGGACTTGTTTGCTGCTTTTTTAATCTTGGTGGGCTCATATGGTGAGCCTTTTCATCCAAACTATATTTTGAGTCTTTTTCTTCTTTCCAACCATCTGTATCTGAATTCTTGATGTTCTGGGATCTTGATGGACACCTTTCCTTTATTTTACCACCACTGGTAACCTTATCTTTTACGGTATTAGACTCCACTTTCTGGGGGTAATCAGGGTGGATCGAAAGAGAGGTACTTTTTGGCTTAGAATGGGCCACATATGCCTGAATCACCTGTCTCTTGCCCGTTTCTTCTCTTGCGCAGCGTTTGTATACAGCCTTTTTGATTTGGCGACTTTCCTCTTCAACATGAGAAGTACATTCTCTATGTTTTGTAGAAGATCTTCAAGTGCAAGAAGAAATGCAATATGATGGTCAAACACTCAATATTGCCACTTGTTTGTAATTAAAGATGCAATCTACAGCAAGATTTTTTTCTAACCTCGAGTGTCGTTTTTCATTGTGTTTGCTCTTGGATCCGTCACTCGTTTGTTGATCTTTGGATGTCTGAAATAAATGTAAAAAAGTATAGCATTTCAACAACACAAGGTCGAAAAACCTTAGCTGGCAAGAATTGTATAATCTTCTGTTATTGATGTCAAATCTAAAGTTTGTTTGTGCAGGTCGTAACTGTTTATTATTTAATCCATCCACTGTTCATCACTTTAGAGTCAAGTTATACTCTAAAATGTACCTCATTCATTTTATACAGCCTAACAGTAAGAGGAGCATACGACATCAATTGCATTATATCAAAGATACGTCTTACCTCCTCTTCTTTGGAGGACCTCTTGCGCTTCCTTTTTCTTGAACTTTCAGACATATTTCTGCCGATGTATTTCCAAGGTCAGACACTATAAAGGTTAGTTCAAAATGACGACTACAAAACTGCATACTGCACTAGAACTCGATGGTAATCAATCGTAAATTGCATTGTAGGCACGGGACAGTGTTGACTACCCTAACTGTAACATTTTCTTTGACATTCTTTTCGAACAGCGACTGAACAAATGGACTCGCTGGCTTTCTTTTAACACACATTTTGACATGAGATAGTTAATAGTACCTTTAAGTGTTTTAAGGTGGCTCTCTTCTCCGAAGGTAAGCGTTCAATAGTTAACGTTCGCTTTTGGTCTGCTACCAATTGCAACTGAAGCATCGCAGCCGAACGAGCGCTATTGGCTTCTTTGGTTATATAAACTATTAGCATATATTAAACCATAAGTACAAAACTCGTTTTACTTCGTTAAAATTTGATTTTGTCTTAAATTCGCCATAACTACATTGCCATACCAAATCAGCTTTCTTGTCTACTTCTACTCCATCTTATTATTACTCTATGTTGTCGATCCGGTACACCACTGCCTCTATTGGCCGTAGTGGAGAAGTACAGGTAACCGAACACATTCCAACAATGAGTTACTGTGTTGATTAAATGTTTTAAATGTAAACGTGCAATTAAAAAGGCCTTAGAAACCCTTGCCTTGATCAGCACAGTTACAGACACATCTGACTGAATGGGTGAAGAGGCGAACAGAGGGAGTAAACAGCTATCTAACGCCACAACAGAAGGGCGTAGACAGGTGAAGGTCAGTGGGAAAGAAGAGCGAGCTTGTGAACATCTTGATTCTTTTTACATTTTATTTTCTGTTATTTTTTTAAAAAAAAGATGCAAATCTGATTTGATTTGGCTGCCCAGGCCGCATCCACTTTCTAGTAATCATGCACGGTCCAGTTACAAATAAAAACCAAATATTTTATATCAAGGTTGGGTTCATAGTTAAATTCTTTGGCCTTCGACTGTCATGTGAAACAGCTGACCAGATTATAATAATAATTACAACATGTTTTACGTTGTTTTATTTCATCATTCTCATCCTTTTTTCTAAATATTAAAATGTCTGCAAGTTCTCAATTAAAGTTATTGCAGCACAGGAACATTTTTGTCACCCCACTTTATTGTTTTAGCCAGTATTGAAAATATTGGCAAATTGTTTTTAGTGACCCTTACTAATCATTAGTAATATTGATAAATCCAGTTTCCTGTTGATGATCACAGGGAGCTGGAGTCAATCCCATCTTTCGGATGAGAAGTGAATGCAATAGTCAGAATTGATCATCTTTGGTTCACACTTTAATTAACATTCATATTCGTATCTCTGGGCCACTTACACCCTTCAATTGACCTAATATACATGTTTTGGACTGAAGTTACATGTAAAGTATTTATATTTGTAACGTTCGAGTTTCCACTTTGATTAAATAAATGGATGAATGTGAACAATGGCTCCGCTGCAATGACTCTTACATACCACATAGTGACACTGTAACTCCATTGAGATATGCTTCCAACCTTGCAATTTATGTCACGATACTATAACCGAACAGACCACTTTTGTATGCTGAACAAAATGTAAAAAAAACAAAAAAACAAACAAAAAAAAAACACTCGTATGCTGAAACAAAACCTGAAAAGCGAAGGCCGAATTGTTGGAGTTCGTAATTACACATTTAAAGTGAAACGGTTAAGAGAATGTGAAAAAAAAAATCCAGGTTCAATATTGTAGAGGAAAACAAACTGAAAAGATGCTTAACGACTTTGAAAGTGATATACTGATCTTTGATTTTTAGCATATTAGCTGTCTTGATACAGCTATTGGGGAAAACACTATGACCAAAATGCAATATTTAAAAGCGCCTGTGACACACAATTACATGTTAAAGGGTTAAATTGACAACACACTTCATTAGATAATTATCATACTTTTAAAAAGGAAACAATCCAACTCTGGTGGTTCGGGAAGAGTGACAATGTGGTTTGCTGGGACCAGAGAAGAAGATACACCTCATTTTTCTGTGGAGATCAATCAAAATAGTCTTTGCACAACTGCGTCTTATTTCTTGACAGAGGTAAAGTGAATTGTATACAGAGAGATGTGAAATGGAATTGTTTGGATGAAATCACAATTTCTTTTTTTAATTTAATCTGTTCATGGTACAGTATTTGATACCTTTTGGTTCACTGCACAATTCTGCTAGGGGACTCTAATGTCCTTGATGATGTAAATACCTAGAAGAGGCTCACTGAAATGTGTGCCCTGTATGATTGGTATCCAGTTTAAACTTAGCCTTTGGAAACCTTTGGCCTGGTCATTTTTACCACCAAGCTCAGATATCAAAATACGAGATAACAAAGTACGAGAACACTTTCATACAGGTACAAAACAAAAAGTACATTTATTGTTATACAGTCAGATCCAACTAGGGGATGACATTCATCCATACCTGGTGAACAATTACGCCAGGGTGTTTGCTTGAAAGGAGAACTGGTCCATTGTTGACCCTGGTAGGAACAAAGCAGCCTCCTGGCCATGGACGCATAGTCATGCTCTTTCCTCTCTCTGCAGTGGCAGGTTTTGAGATTTGTGTACTGCATAGCCATGTGCTATGTCGTAATAAGTTGTAATTGTAATTTCTACCGCCCTGGTCTAATCACACATTTATTGTCATCACTAGTGCTCTGAGCTGGCATCCATATTCTGAGTCTGAGCTGCCCACTACAGTTTGCCAGTCACAGGAACACCTTCAGGCCCAAGCTGTACAATTCACTGAATTGTGTTGAAATCTGCATTGTTTCCTCCAGCAATGGGAACACAAAGACAGTTGGAGATTACTACATCACCTGCTGCACACCAAAGACTTTCCTCTCACTCATCTGTAACTGATCACTGCCAGCCTGCCTCATCTGCTGATGCTATTTCATATTGCCCATTCCATCAATAAAAGAGGCTTTCTGCCATTTGGGTCCGAAAACTGGCTCTGAGTCTAACAAGTTCTCCAGACAAGTGGATTGATTGTACATATATTTTATCATAAAGAAGTGGGATGAACTGGAAGTTCTGAAATCACCTTTGAGCTTAAGATGTTATGCGCGTGTGTAAATTCAAATGACATTTATAGAGAACTGCCAGCATTTAGCCTTTCTATTTTCATCATTAACCTGTCTTCAAGCAGTTTTTAGTTTTGTCTTCTTGATATGACATCGTAGTGTATGTCATTCAGGTATGTGCTGGGAACAAAATTCTGCCCAAGGATAGCTGTCAACGGCAGCTGTCATTTACTGAAAAATGAGTGTGCGCGTGTGTGTGTGTGTGTGTGTGTGTGTGTGTGTATATATATGGAGGTGGGGGGAGGGGTGTTGATAGTGTTAGACTGTGGTCAGCCGCCCGTGATGCCCAGGACCGGCCCGGAAATACAAAATAAATTTGCCGTTGGATTTAAAGTTACCTTTTCCTTAATGCATCTGATTGGTCTAGTACTTGGGAACGATATCACTGTTTCTTGTTTTTTGGTTGTTGTTGTTTTTAATTTGCGGGGGGGGGGGGGTAATCAAGGGGAATTTGTTGTGGTTGGAGACTCATGTGGTGCCAAAGCTTCAATGTCGTGTATGCAGATAAAGGCAATGCATTGATCCTTCCATGACCTCGTTTTGTAAAAATATCGTTATTTAAAGCCACTGCTCCTTCATAGTGAGAAGATTTACTTGAGGAAGTTCTGGCCTCTGAACATGCTACTTGGGGAAAAGGCGGCTTGTGTAACACATCTCATTTCAGAAGGCTGTCATTTTGTATTAATATCTTCTGCATTATTTTATTTTCGGAGCAAGTTGAAATACCAATGAAATGCAGTCTTTGTTCACCTCCTTCTTGTTTTAAATTGAAAAATATGTAACAGAATTGTGTGCTTCGAAAACCAACCATCTCCATGATCTTGTCCTTCTGTCTGGACGTCCTTCTTGTTTGACACGCTTGTTGAAACGTTGCCTTCTTTGAAGTTAATTCAACATTTGGCTTCAATCAACGAGCAAACTTGGACAGACAGCAAATGCTTTAGTTGCGTGTCTGTGAATGATCACAAGCCCATGTGTGTGTATGTAATGTTTCTGTGGGGAAGGGTCTTTGTGCCACTAATGGCTTAGTCAGAAAGCTAAGTACTGTGTCTAAACAAAATATGACAATACTCCTTTGGCCATTTTTTCGATAATGGGCAACTACTGTATGTGTATCTGCAGATCGTTTCAAAATTTGGACTGCCTGGGTCACAGGAGAGCTATCAGGAAGACATAAATTATGACATGCATGGCATTTCAATCAGCACATTGCACTTTCTTACCTTACTATGGGGCAGAATGTTAGGTCTACCTGCATAATCCATGTACAAGTACAGTATAATCTAAATGTGTATCAAAATACTGACTTTACAGAAGAAGAAACTTTATCATTGTATAGAATTCAACAAAATTTCGTTTGGTAATATCTCTCATGTAGCAGCTAAGTATCAAAATGTGGGTTAAATAAATAAATACTGTAAATAAAGTGTAGTTACATTTTAACTCAACTCAGCTGTATTTATAGAACAACCACCGCTCGACACAAAGTGCTGTACATGGAGCAAAAATAATTCATACAATAAACTTCAATGCTGGCTTCTTTAGTCTTCCTGGTGTAGAGGTTGAGGTGGTTACCACTGCACCAGGCCATCAGTACTTGGACCTGCTCCCTGTACGGTGCCTCATTATTATTGTTGATCACTGCGACTGACTATCTATTGCAAACTTGATGAGGGTGTTTATTATTTACAAATTGTGAATCTATTTACAAAAATTACAATGCCCCCTTGTTGTCAGAAAAATATCCATATGATGTAATATTTATTATTTTGGTTGCAGTTTGACATACATTTCATGAGCAATTGATTTAAATAGACTTTCCTTGTGATCTCGAACTCAACTTTTGCCAAAAACAAATGGAGACAAAAGACACTTGACAAAAATCATTCACTGTTGATGCTTACTTAATTGCGATGACTCGGTTTTGAGGTATGGTATATTTAAATGAACTTTAGTACATTTATAAACGACTCAGTTCAGGGTGTACCTCGCCTCTCTCCCAAAGTCAGCTGTGATGGGCTCCAGCACACTTGTGACCTTAGTGAGGATTAAGCAGCACAGAGAATGAATGGCTGGATATTCTTACACACATCGTTTTTAACATTATTACCAACATTTGACACAGAAAGGATAAAATACAAATTAATAAAGAATGATGGTGGTGGTATGCAGAATTTTTTTTTCTGTGTAATACAAAAAGCAGTTTATATTCTCCACCCACCTGCGATTGGCTGGCAACCAGTTCAGGGTGTTTCCCGCCTACTGTCAGAAGACAGCTGGGAGAGGCTCCAACACCCCCGCGACCCTTGTGAGTATAAAGCGGATTGGAAAATGGATGGATGAAAGGATATTCTCCATCCCATTGTGTCCACCAAATCATGCTCCATCCATGAAAACGATTCACACTGTTT